TATAAAACAATAAGATAGAGAAGAATAGTTTTATAGCAGTCAAATATCTCTGGTTAAAAGTTGTTGCCCCTTTCCCTACTTTGGTGTTCACCCTCAAAGCCAAAGTAAGCTCTGAGGTGGGCCAGACTTGGGCAACTTGAAGGGAAAGATTGTGTTTCCTAGTGTCATGTGTCCAGCACTCAGAATTCCACGTGGCTTGAGTAGTATCTTTGAATAAATCAATGAGCTTGATTGGTGTGGGTAAGTAGTTTTCAGAAATTCACACACAAAAAGGAAGACAAAACCCAGATTCTTAGTTTAAGGGATAAAGTGTTCTGGGATAGTCCCAACTGACCAGGGAGCCAGCAGCACCACTACATAGAATGGCACAGGACTGGGTTTGATCACTGGATGAGTGTAGTAAGAATGACATATCCAAGTCACCAACAGTGCAGAGAACTCTCATATTGAATACTTAATTTGATTACCCCTCCAATCTTTGGACAGGTATGGCCTCCATGGTTGGATCTGAGGGAAAAATGGTTGTCATTGTGGTGGTGGGGGTGGTGTTGATAAATAATCTATTAATAGGCCTTTTCTTGAAACAGGCCAGCACTTCTGGAGCTCCAAAAAGAAGGAACTTCCTCCATTTGCCCCTTTCCTTTTCCTCAAAGGAAAGTTCACATCATCTTTTTTGTATTGCAGTTTTTACTTTTCATATAATCTACTTAATCTCTGAATTTTGAAAATTTCTTTTTTCTTTTATGAAAAAAAGCAAAATTTCATAAAAAGAAGAGTATAATGCTAGTTAGAACACTGTATTGTTATCTTCAAAGTAGTTACTCAGAGTACAAGACATCAATGAGAAGATTCTCTCTTTTGAAGAAACAACTTTCTTTCTTGGAGAAACAAACAGACATTAGCACAGAACTTTCTTTTCAATGAACCAAGAGAAACTAGAAGTTTGCACAATTTGAAGCAGGTCACCTAGTGAGATGACCTTGAAGGATATGAATATGTGTATTGGAAAGTAGTGGAGAGCTAGATGGAGTGGGAGGGAGCTGACTATCTTATTCTTTTAGGTCACTGTATCTCAAAGAAGTTGAAGATGGATCCTTACTGACATGGATACCACAGAAAGGGAGGAAGAAGAGGAGTAACAGGTAGCCAGAGATCAGTCTGTGAAAATACCATGCTCAGCCTTTCCTGGGGCCTTAGGCTCCTAACAGGGAAAGGGAGGAAGAAACATGTATAAACACATAACTGACTTTTGCTGTGTTCCAATCTTTGTGAGATGCTTTATGTGTACTTTGCATATACTGCTCATTCATCCCAAAAGTGCTGCAGGATAGATGTTGCTATATCCATCTCAGAGATGAGAAAACTGAGGCAGAATGGGAAGAGGTCTTACCCTTCTGCACATAGCTCATTTAGAAGGTAGGCAAATGATAGGACAAAGGGATAAAGTTGAACTAGATGAAGTCAAAATTTCTTTCCAATGTGAAAGTTTACTTCAAGAAAAGTATAGAAAGATGTTTAATGGCTTTCCAAAGAAGCCCCTGCCTATTCCCCAGTATTTGTGAATATATCACATTATATAACAAAGAAGACTTTGCAGATGTGATTAGCTTAAAATGTTGGGGTGGAAGATTATCCTGGGTGGGCTAGTACAAGGTTACTTAGAAGTGGAAGAAGCAAGTAAAAGAGGTTGTCAGGGGAAGATGTGATGACAGAAGAAAGGCAACATACGCATTGTTGCTGATTTTTGAGGAAGGAGCCATGAGCCAAGCTACACAGCAGTTTCTAAAATCTGAGGACAAGGAAATGGATTATCTCCCAGAGCATCTAGAAATAAAACAGCTTTGCCAAGACCCCAATTTTAGCCCAGTGAGATTTGTGTCAGACTTCAAATGTGTCAGTGCTGTAAGAAAATGAATTTAGGTTGTTTTGAGCCACTAGGTTTTTTACAGCCAAGATAGGAACGTAACACAAGTGGCAATGAAGAAGAAATAAGTCATTGTGGAAAGTGGTTGGAGGCAGCTTAGAGTGGTCAGAGACAACCTCTCTGAAAACTGAACATTGTTTGACATTGGAGTCAAGACTTGAATGACACCAAGGAACTACTTCTGGAAGGTCTGAAAGAACAGATTTCCAGGTAGAAGTTTCAGGCAAATACCTGTGATGAGGAAGTCTAGTAGTTCCAGGAACAGAGAGGAGGTCAGGGTGTAGAGATTTGCTACTCTTGTGGTCCATGGACCACCACTGGCAGCAACGTGTGGAAGTGCAAATCCCCTAGTTGCATCTTAGACCTATTAAATCAGAACCCCTAGGGACAGATTCCTGGAATAGGTTTTTGTAAACCTTATTTCTTGCAATGATCAAACTTACAGAAAATTTGGAAGTGTAATACAAAAAACCTTCTATTTTCTTGCATCATTTGAGAGCCAAGAACTGACTGGGTTCTCCATCACCTTCCAATACTTTAAGGAACATTTCCTATAAAGAAGGACATTTTCCTACACAGTTACAAGACAATATCAACATCAGAAGATCAACAAAGGTATATTGATGTATCTAATCTTCAGAGCTCATTCAAAACTCTGCGGTTTTTTCAATAATATATTTTATAGCATAAAAATCTAATTCAGAATCATGCGTTGCATTTAGCTCTCATGTCCCTTTAATGTCCTTTAGTCTGGAAAAATTCTTCAGTTTTCCTTAACTCTGACGACCTTGTCACTTCTGAAGAGCACAGCAGTTATTTTGGGTCTATCTAATGCTTCCTCATTTTTAGATTCCATTTATGCATCATTGGCAGGAATAGCACAGAAATGACACTGCTTTCTTCTCCTGGCATCCTATCTGGCGGCACATGATTTCAATTTGTGCCCTTACTGGAGATGCTTGCTCTGATCACTTAATTAAGATGGTGTCTGGCAGACCTCTCACTATATAGTTACTTTTTTCCTCTTTGTAATTAATAAATGTTTTGCAAAGAGGTATTTTGAAATTATGTAATTATCTCTTTCCTCTCTACATTTTAATTTATTCATGTATTTGTAAATTTCTGTACAGACTCATAGTTTCCATTCTTATTCAGTAGGTTATAATCCATCACTACCATTGTTTAGTTTGGTACTTGAATTACCTCATGTTTGACCAAACGACACCCATTAAACTTCCCTTTGTGCCACTATGGCATGTACCCATCCTTCTTTGAGCACTTCTTTGCTTTCTGACACAACAAGACCTTCCAGGTTCATCTTCTTCCTGCCTCACCCCTAGTATCAGTTGTTTCTTCAAGAAACACTTTTTTCCTTTTAATGGAAATGGTATTTAGTAGCCAAGAAGGTAGTAGATATATTCATTGTTTCTGGACTGACACTGCTTTCAGTCTTTCTCAGAGGACAGACCCAAGAAATATATTTCACATTACAATCATATTTATTTAACATCTTTAACTATTGAAAGCCACGAGTTTACCTCAATACATCTAATTCAAACTCAACATCACAAGATGCATGCTAGGCCTCTCCCTTTCAGTATTTATAACAAACTTCCCCAGTAATGACAGTGCTAGTGTATTAGTTTCCCAGGGCTGCCATTAAAAAGAACCATGAAGGGGCTGGGGATTTAGCTCAGTGATTCTGCCACCTGCCTCGAAAGCTCAAGGTCCCGAGTTCGATCCCAGGTACCCCCCCCAAATATATATATATATATATATATATAAAGAGCCATGAAATATGTGGCTTAAAAAAACAGAAATTTGTGGCTTCCAAGTTCTGGAAGTAAGATATCCAAATATCCACAAAGCCATGAGCGGGGCTGGTTCTTTTTGTTGGCATGAGAAAGAGTGTGTTCTATGCATCTCCCCAAGCTTCCAGTGATGACTGGCAATCTTTGGCATTCCTTGATTTGTAGACACATCACTGAAATCCATACTCCTGTTGGCAGGTGGTTGGGATGGAGTGTTGGTGCCCATGTAGGGCAAGAATAGCATCCACACAGCAGTACGTTTATCCTCACCTGGACATTCACTGAGTGTGTGCCTCCATGTCCAACTCTGCCCTTTTTAAAAGGACATGAGTCATTTTGGGTTAGAGCTCTGTTTGCTCTAGCATAATTTCATCTTAACTAATTACATCTGCAATGACTCTATTTCCAAGTAAGGTAACATTCTGAAGTTAATACTTCACCATATGAATTTGGTGGGAGGAATGAAGTTCTGACCTGGTATCTGCTATCCGTAATGTTTTCTTGATCAGTCTTCCTCAGTATAACCAATCTTCCATTTCAACTTCCCCCTTTTCCCCTCACAGGACCCTCCTACCTACTTGGGCTCTGAATTTTCATTTCAAATTACTGCCTACCCTGTATAGATGCCACTTAAGCCCTGACACCTCAAGCCAATCACTGTCTATAAGGAGGCCCTTATTTTTCTTGGACTCAGACTCACCACACCAGGCTGTCTCAAGCATCCCTGGAATCTGGCACTTGCCAAGCCACCCCTCATTGTGTGGATATCTTTCTCAGCCAGTCTGGTGTTCAATGCTAGGATGCCTCTACCGGATGGGATTCTCTTACTCCTGCTTAGGCGCTGACATTCTCCCCACCTGCAGATGCCCTCTTTACCTTGTGAGGGCTCTGACATCTTGTTCAGGGCAGCTCTGTGTAGTCAGCTTTGCATCACTATAACAAATGTCTAAAACAATCAACTTATACAAAGAAAAGTTTAGGAATTTTCAGTCATGATTGACTGGAGCCATTGATTTTGGGCCTGTGGTGAGGAGCACATCACGGGGACAGTGAGTGGTGGAGAAAAACCTCTTACTTCACAATGGAGAAGTGAAAAAAGTGAGAAGAGGAGGGGTCGGGTTCTGATACTCCCTTCAAGACCACCTCCTAATAGAACCAAGCTGGGGACCAAGCCTTTCATACAAGTGCCACTGGGAAACATTTCAGATCTAAGTTACAGCAGCCTCCATGTGTTGTCAGCCTCCTGTGTTGTCCTCTCCCTGCAGATGCCTGCCTTGTGGTACTTTCCTGATGGTTGGAGGACTGAATGTTCTGGAAGTGGGGCAGAGGAGGAAGAAGAACAGGAATCTGTGCTTTGACAAGCTCTTTCTCCAGGTGATTCTAAGCATGCTAAAGTATGCAACCATGGCCTCGCTGTCATGGGATGGGGGAGGAAGCACAGTGTGGCTGCAGAGGTAGACAAGGGTCAGATCCTGGAAGGCCTTGGAGGCTTTACAAGGAACTTTTATTTTATTTTCTTAGAGTTGACAAAAATAGGCCTATCAAGGGCAGCAATGCCACCGCCAACAATATAAATTAGCTCCAAGTCTCTTCTCCTGAGATGAATAGAAGTCATCCCTCACCCAAACAAATCTTCACCCCTCTTCTGCTCCAGCTCTTTGTTACAGATTTTAGCATGCTTATGTATCTCCCTTGGAAATCAACAAAACCCTTTTTTTGTCATTCTGCTTATTTACAGCTCTGACTCTCTCTCTCCTTGCCCAGCTTTCCGTCTTGCAAACATTTTCTATATTCTTCATCTTCATGTCCTAAAATCCCATTTACGCCTTGACCCAGTGCAATCTGGCTTCCGCTCAGTTCTGTTTTTAGTTTGCATGCACCGAAAAAGGGTTTTTAAGAAGGTAGACATTATTTGATTTGTGTTTTGAAAAGATCCCTCTGGCTACTTGGTAGAGAATGAGTTTGAAAAAACCAAGAGCGCAATCAGGGTGGCCAGAGGTTGCTGTGTCCCAGCTGAAAGGCTGGTGGCATGGACAGAGTGAGCTGGAGGAAGAGGGAAAGAGAGGGCTATAGTTGAGATACAGGGCAAGCAGGATGTTCAGATATACTAGATATAAGAGTGAAGGAAGGAGAGCAGTCACAGATGACATCTAGGGCTTGACAGGAGATTCATGGATGGAAGATGCAGAAGGCTGGAGGAAGAAGTAGTTTGAGGAAGGGAAGATCTGGGAATTCTATTTGGGCCACACTTTGTTCAAGATTCTTATCTGTTTGTATCAAGCAGACAGCTGAGTATGTCTGTCTAGAGCTTAGGGATGGGGTCACAGCAGAAGATACAAATCCACTGACTAATCAGTGGCTGCTTCAGGAGGAGTCCTTGTAACAATGTTAAATTTGAAATGTGACTTCACCATGACATGCTACAGGGGGCCGGGAACAAGGTCCCAGGAACACATGGAAGAATTTTAAGGTAAGGAATGTCTGTGAGTTGTAGACAGGCTGTGAGGCCACCAGTTGTCAGGACTGGTTTGACAATGACTTGCAGAATGGAAGGAGCGCTGACATCCTAGCATGGGTTTATCCTCAGGACAGTCACTTATATGTGGGACCACTGCCAGGCTCATCAGGCCAGCCTCTAAACTGAGGGACAAAGTGTGCTGCAGATGTTGAGTTCAAGGCCTGACTCAGAGGACCAGGTCTCAGGAGGCAGTCCTGTCACTGTCCAATTTGGTGACTCTGTGATACCATGCCATTAGCAGCTGCCCCCATAAGTGCAGGGCTCTTCAGAGCTTACAAATCACACTGACATCACGACCCTATCTAATCTTCATAGCGGCTCTCAGAAGGCTGGAGAGGGTTTTTAGTTTTATTTTATAGATAAGGAAATGAAGGCTCCAAGGTTGTCACTTGCCAAAAACCATACATCCAAGACATGGTGGAGTCAGGACTTCAAGCTAGAACTGTCTGTTTCTAAAATTTCAATCTACCTTCTGCCTCCAGAAGAATTCATAGTGCTCCAATCACTGCTAAAATGTGAGAATTCTGGCTGGTGCTTCTTCCTGCAGAAGCCAACCTAGTGCTACTTTTTGCTGGGACTAATGTCATGTTCTCTCTCTCCACTGCCAGTTCTTCCCCTTGTACTCTGCACTTTTTCCTCACTCTTGTCTCAGGTATAGCTTTTTCTTCTCTGGCACAGGTTCTTAGTCCTTTCCAACTGGTCAGAGATTGATCTGCTAGTTCCATAACTCAGCTCAGCGACACATAGCCTTTCAGAAAGTAGCAGCTTCTCTGGGCCTCCTGAGGGCTCTAGTTTCTCAACCATCTCTTTCAGAGAGGTCTCCTTGATTGCTCAGCCCTCCCTGCCCTTATCCAAGTGTCTCCAGATGGCAGTAGACCTGACCTGACCCCTAACTTCCTGTGTACCTGTGACACACATTATTCTACCAAGCAAAGTAGCATGTTATTGTCACATTTGACCTTCCAAAATAATTCTTTTGGCTGTAGTTACTTCCCTCTTGGGGTCTTCAAGGTCACATTTAACATCTCTTCTCAACCCAGGGAACTTGACTCAGCTTTCTTGGAACAATCAGGAGCAAATCAATCAAATGTGAACTAAAAGTCATAGACTCTCATGGGACCTTGAAGATTACCTACTACAACTTTTTGTCTGGTGTTATACTTTTCTTTCCATATTCTCCCCAAAGTCAAGCCTTTGGTGACATGAACTTTACTCCCTCTTAGGCAAGTCATTCCTTCCTTGGGCAGATACACTAGGATTTTCTTCTCTTTTCCTTCTCAAAATGTTACCACCCAAAACAACCTCCCCTCCCCTAGGATAGGGTCAAATTTCTCTTAGGGTAACCATTGGTGCAAAGGCATGACTTTGACCTTGAGCTTTTCTTCAGGCAAACAATTTGTCCCTCCTGAGTATGGTTTCATATCTCCTCTTCCCTGGCCTCCTTTTCAAGACATGCTCCAGTTTCTTTGTTCTAGAGACTCTTCTTCCCCTTCCGCGCCTCTACAAATTCAGACACATTCAACAGGTATTTATTGAGTGCTATGTCTGTGCTGGGTGTTGGTCCAGAATTTACCAGTGGACAATACAAACATCCAGTTTGTGCCTATACCTTGGCGATCAAAGGTATCTGCCATCATGAGACTCTGGTTCCTTTCAGTGTTTATAACCATCAGTCTCAAAGCTCCAGTTACTTTGAGTATTGGACATTGGAGATGCAAAAATGAATAGGAGATTGTCCCTGTCCCCAAAGCTCATGGCTCCACTCCCACTGCTTTAAACTATCTAGTTAATAGGTCTGGATGGAATCTTCCAATCTGTCAATATCTGCCTCTCTCTCTCTCTCTCTCTCTCTCTCTCTCTCTCTCTCTCTCTCTGTCTCACACACACACACTTCTGGTCCATACAGGCACATATGTGTAGATTCTAGGCACCAGCACTGATCTAAGAAACTTGTTGCCATCTCCCATCACCCCCTTTGGTCTGCCCCAGTGTATTCTGGGAGCTAAACTGCTGGCAGAAGCCTCTGAGGTGATCTGTGGGATGTAAGAATGGGCCTATGAACACATTGCTCTAGGCTAGATAAATAGTTATCAGCCGCCTATGTGGTTAAATAATCATTAAACCACATAATTCAGAAATCATGCTCCTCAAGAGCTCCCCATTTAATACCCAACAGAAAATGCTAATCTGCTGCACAAGGTTGTGTTTTATTTTTCTGGACAGGAAACATTTTCTTCAGTTACATAATGACTTTCCTTGACATAATAATGAAGAAATGTGAATTTAAAACAGCCTGGGATGCTGGAGTGCTCTTTGTAATCTGGGGGACTGGCCTCATAGAAGTAGCTTGAGTAACTGCTGACTTGCTGAGCCAAGTCTTCATTGAATTAACTGCTTACAAAGACTGAAATTTACCATATTAAATTTTAGTGAGTAATTTCTCTTCACATAAACTGCAGAAATTTAATCATTGTGGATGTGGTAGATAGGCTGTCACATGGGCTGATATTACATTAGGGAAGGCTATGGAATTAGACTGAGCCCCATCTCTGAGATATCCAACAGTGGGGGAGGCCCTGAACTCCAGAATCTGAAGGTCAAGGTTCAAGTCTCAGGTTTTCCACTCCCTTCTGGTGTGACCTAAACCACTTCACTTCAGGCTTGCTGAGCTACAGTTTCTTAAATGGGCAGTTAAGGCTATGGTAAAGATGCAAAATGGGTTACATTTATGAAGCCACTTGGCTATTGATAAAAGTCAATGTAAATATTATTGGTACTTGCTATGTAGCTTCAAAGCTGAGAAAGTTGAGTAGGAATGTTCCAGAAATAAGAAAGAATGCTCACTCTGGTACCTCACCTTTGCAAGGAGGTAGGTAGCCAAAGTTGGCTTCTTTGTAACCCATCAGTAGCACAGACAGGAGTCCAGCGGTTTCGGAATCATCCAAACAGTCAATTAATCCAGTGGGTTAATGGTTACTTGGGTTGATTAAGTAAAGTCAAACCAGTTGCTGTCCTGTAAAAGCAACAAGAGATGAAAAGCAGGCTATTTGACTTCTCTGACCTTAGCAAGTTGAAATCATAGTAACAAACAGTGTTTTCTTATGTACAGAGTATGTGTGTGATAGATCAGATTACCATTAAACATATCCCCTCTCTCTTCCCACAGCATGGAAATTTATTTGTTTACTCCTTGGCTGGGGCTTGATCATGTGACTTATTCTGGAAGATGAACAACATGACAGATAGAAGGATTTGCAACGTGCTTGTGCTGCTAACATCATCATGCACACGATGGCTATCACCTTCATGCTTCCCCTCCATTCTGGGTTCAAAATAAACACACAAAGGTCAGACAAGAGCAGGCAAAGAACCCATTCTAGCCAAGCTCATAGCCTAAAGCAAAATTGCTCAGTCAGCCCAGTCCAGATCAGACAATCCTTAACTCACCAAAGATAAGTGAGGGAAATTAGTGCTTACTTTTCTTATGACACTGAGATTTGTTGTGGTTTCTGTGATGCACTAAGAGATGACAGAAACCAAATGCTCTCATACCCACTCACCCTTTCAATCTGCAGAAAACTCCCTAGTACAGAGAGGCCAAGCATTTTTGTTTTTCTTTGTTAAATGAGGAAACTGACTCAGAGAGAACTGACTTACTAAGCACATGAAGCTAGGCATATAGAATCCAGCAGTAAAAAGTTGAATGTTCTTTCTCATGAACAATGATGACTTTTCCAAAGGAGATCTGGGACCTGAGGGAGACCCTGGGTTCTTGAGGGTATAAAGATAAACTTCTTCCACTTCATAATTTCACCAAAGGCCAATTTGTCAGCAGGGCTAGAAGGCCTGAGCGACCTCCCAGGGACAGTTAATGATTGGCCTATGGCTCACACCATGACATTTTCTATGATTTGGGTTAATGCCCAAGTATCACTGGGCAGAGATAGAAGGCAGTTTGTCATGTATAAATTTAACAGGCAATAATGTCGCTACTAAATTGTGTATCATTCCTAACGATGTTGTCAGCCCTTTATCAGCCTAATTTATATTGTCAACATGATGTAATGGTCCCACCAGGCACAGGCCTTCAGAAATACAAGATCCACATGTGAAAGACCAAAGTGAATTTCCACCAGTTGTCACTCTGAAAATCAAATTAGGATTGCTGATTTCTACTTCCAATAACCAGAGAGACTGTACATAAAATATTGAGGATGGGGCCTGACACACAGTAGGCATGCAGCTGTTATTATTTCATGCTATCATGCAGCTGAACTAGCTAGTGTTGGGAGTTCTGCCTTCAGAGTTCAGAGAAGTGGGATGGGCTCCAGGAATGTCGTTGGTATCATTCCCAGTTGTCTTTTGTTGACCTTGTTTCCTTTAAGAAAAGCACTGTAAGGTTTATAGAGTGTCTTCACATGCAGTATTTATACCTCCCTACAGTTCTGGAGGCTGTAGGAGATGAGACAGGAGGTCACTTGGCACAGAGAAGGTGTTCAGTAAAGAAAAGCTCTCATTCTCAGCACTCCAAGGTTAGGAATTCCTAGCTCTCCTACCATGCAAATGGCAGCATCACAACTGTTACCATTTGACTAGTGGATTCTTCTCTCAACCCAGAAATAATTACAAGGTAGAGAGTTAGAAGAGGACTGAGAAATTTATTACAGAGTGAAACCAAAAAGCCCCTGGGTTATTGAACCTCAGGAGAGGGCCCTAACAGGTTGCCAAAGGGGTCCTTTGTCTAGGGGTTTTTATACACAAAAGTGACCATGTCCCAGCCAAGTTGAGATCAATCAGTGAGGCTACAAGCAGGAAAGTATGACCTAGAAGTGGACCTCTAAGAACTTTGGGAATGTAGCAAGCACACTTTTACAAGCACCATTCATTGTAACTTTTATAAAGTTAGCAGAATGAGCTGAGCAAAGACATCCTTTAGAGAAATATAACTATCTTTTTCCCAGGCAAGAAAATCTCAGCAATCCAATGAGGCCTTTTTCTGGCGAGCCTCTGGTGCCCTGCTCTTGGCCATTGACCCTTCACTGAATCTTCTCTGACTGCCTGTCCTGTCTGAGGAACTCTTTTTGTCAAAACACTCTCCACACACCACTCACCTCATGGGCCACTGTCACTCTGAGAAATCCTGCCATCTTCCCACAGGGTATTTCCAACACAGCTCATTTTCAACACCATGTTTTATAGAAACTGATTGTTTAGATTACCATTGGGTTCCCCTTGTTAGGAAAGTAATACCCAAACCTGAGAAAATGCGACCTAGGCTCAGCTACACCTATGGAAGGCTCGTGGTCCATTCTCCCCAAGTCTCTTGTTATTTCTGTGCTTCATTCCCTGCTCTGAATATGTTCTTCATCTGCTGGTGGAGGAGGAGTATAGGGCTTTTGTTATCTCCTGTTTCAACAACCCAGTCAATAAAAGAAATACAAAAGTCTTGATTGCATCAGTGACTCCTTTTTTCCTTTCATCCGCACATCTACCATAATCACAACTGGAAACCATCCCTACTTCCATCCTTATGCAAACTGCTATCCTATCTGCCTTCTAAGAGAACTTCATGTTCCTGCTCCTGCCCTCTTTCAATTTCAGCTCTATATAACAGTCAGTGCAATGAGTCTAGGTTAGAAACTAAGTCAGTCACTCCTTTGCATAAAATTCTTGGCACTCAGATAAAATTCAGACTCACAGTCATGGTCTATGTATTAATCAGAGTTCAGCCAGGAAGATAAAATCTGTGAAGGTTGGGTATTAACAAGGGGATTTTAATGCAGAGAATAAGTGACCAAGTTGTATAAAGAGCTGTAAAAGCAACAAAAAGAGGTGAAGTGACCCAGACACGAGAAACTACAAGAAGCCACAGTTCCTAGGGCTGCCGGGACAAAGGAAGGAGATGGTATAGTGTGACTACAGCCAAGATCTGGGGCTGCCCAGTGACTGCAGAGTTCATAAATGGGACCAGCCAGTAAAAGCTAGAGCCACAGAATAGCCATTTTTAGAGATTCTACCCAAAGCAAAGAGTGTGTGGGAGAACCTTCATGGCTTTTTCTTTTTTTCTCACCTTACAGTCATCTCAACCTAACAATCCTGGGTCTAGGCATTCATTCTAGAGAGAAATGTATCCATGTATTCAGGGAACTGAGTGCAAGCCATGATTTGTCACAACACAGCATAAGCTAGAAACGGATCTAAATATTCATCAACAGTGTATGGGTAAATGCACCGTGGTCTAGTCCTACATGATACTATTGCCAGCAGACAACAGGAATGGTGTGTGCTGACACACAAAAACAAATGAGATCAACTGAGCTGACCATTTGCTCTTGCTGTCACATCTCTTCTTGTCTTTGCTCTGCCTGGCAGGAGGCTTGCTCTGCCAAATGGGTCTCTCAAGTCCTTTGTGATTAGTGTCCAGCTAATTGGGTCACCAGAAGGAGACTGGAAGGTGAGAAAAAGACAGAGCCAGGCCATTTATTTAAAATTTCATTAGATATTGACACATTGTCCTTCAAAAAGTCTGTACCCATTTATATTTCCACCATTAAGTGCAGGAGGATTGCCTATTTTTTCACTGCCCCCTACCCCAGCCAGCATTTCATGTGATAACATTTTAAATAAATAGGAAAGTAATAGAGCCTTATCATTGCTTTAAGTTGATTATTAATTAGACTGAGCAATTTTTCCTGTGCCATTGACCATTTATATTTCCCTATATTATTTGTAGATTGCCTTTTCAGAATCTCTGCCTAGTTATCTGTTTCTTATTGACTTATGAGTTCATTTTTATTTAGGCTTTAAAATACTTTATTGGTTGCATGTATTACAAATTTTGCTTAGAATGACTTTTGACCTTGAGAGTGTTTTTCGTGGATCCATAAGTCCCTGTTCTTCATTAATGACTACTAACTAGACATGTTACACAACTCTCAACTTAATTTTTCTTTCTCATTTGACCCCTGCATTTTACTCACTTTTCTTATCTTTCCTTTTCCTTTCCTGCCCTCTCTTACCTCTCTCCCTCCCTTCCTCCTTTCCTCCCTTCTCCCTCTTTCTCTCTTTCTCTCTTTCTCTTTCAATTCCAATTCTTCCCTCATTTTACTGGCAGGTATCCTCAAGACACCTTTGGAGAGAGGATAGTTTCCATGGAGCCAAAGTTTCCAATGCCTCCCAGAGGCAAAGTGGCTTCATTTTCTCTCAGGCTTGATGCATTCTTTACCTTGTAAATGAGCAATTTTTGTTTTTGTATCTATCTTCCTATTAGTTTTGAGACTTTGTTTTATTTTGTGTACAAGACAAAAGTACAGGTAGAAAGAACAAGGGGACCCTCACTCCAAGACTGCACAGTTTCCTAATACTTCTGAGCACTCGCATCTCATTGTGATGCTCCATACCCCCGGGACCTCCAAGCAGGGAACTGACCTCATCCCCCAGGATTGGTTGTGTCCAGGTGTCCCTGGCCTCTATGCCATTAGCACTGCCTGAGTCCACAGCACCCAAGTGGTCCTGTTACATCTTCTGATCCCACCTCCAGACCAGGAAATAGTTGCTCTTGATCCATCTGGAGGCAGCGCAGGTGAAGTCCCTTGGAGGAGAGGGAGCACAGTGAGGACTGAGAGAGAGAAAGCTGCTTCTTATGGGGTTCTTACACCTTTATACCACTGACCAAAATTTTCCTTTAATTGTTGGTCACATGTACAGAAGGGGGTAGCTTCTCAAGAATATCATCTCCCCTCCCCTACATTTCTAGTTAGGCAAAACCTACCCCTGCCAAAGAAGTCTAGAGGGAGCCAGAGGGTGTTGAGGGGAAGCTCAGAAAGGCAGGGGACCTGGAAGATGGGGTTAATGGTATGATGGCTCTAGGAAGGCAGACCTGGGGAGGATGACCTCTCTTCAGGGAAGAGCAGGAAGAGCTAAAAACTCACACTTCCTTTCTCACTCTTCATGCATTTAATGAGCACCAGCTGTACGCAGTCACTCATGGACTATGGGGACATACAAATAAAATGAAGAAGAGAAAAGGGCTGTGTGTGGAAGAGGAAAGAGCTTTGAAAATGGGATCAGATGCTCTGGATTTGAGTCCCAATTCAATCATTTGTTGTCTGTGTGACCTCAGGTGATCACTAAACTTCTCTGGGCTCTGCTTTCTTACCTAGTGAGGTTGTCTGTGAAAACTGTGCCAATGATGCCTTTCTGTGCAAATAGCAGACAAGCTAATAATAATATTTTGGAGAATATTCACTGTGTTACACACTACATTCTTTTTTATTCATCACATCATTTAATCTTTCCAGTGCCCCCGGTGCAGTCATAACTCTCCCCTTTGAGGGTGAGAAGACTGAAACACAAGGAAGTTGATGGCTGGCCTGGCTAATAATGATGGCAGAATCATGGATGGCCCACAGGGTCCTGAGCCACAGTGCCACACTCTTTCTACCATGAGCCTCTCTTCTAAAGAGTGGTTTTTGGGAAACTTATGATGCCTGGTTTCAGATAGATAAGGCAGTGCCTTTGTTTTCCATGTTTCATTGAGCTGTTTTGTTGTGGGGTAAACATAGTCTTCATCTCCAATGCTAAATTCAGTGCCAAAAGGCGCCATCCAGGGAAATGATTCAGCCTGACTGGGCCTTGGTTGCCCTAATAATTCTCATGGCATCCTTTCTCTGAGCTTGCTGGAGTAATTACAAGGCCCCTTTGTGACCACAAAGCTCACCTGCTGGGTCACAGAGCTTCTGACAGAATAAAGAACTGTTTCAACTCAAACACTGTGGCTCAGAGCTGATAAAAAGCATAGAATTATCTTCTGTACTTGTTTCTCTTTTCAGGCAGAAAGGGGAAGTGGCTTACCTAAAATCTCCCAGAAACAACCCAGCCAGGATACATCTCCCCCCTTCCCTCTGGGTGGTACCTGGGCATCTTTAGAACAGATCATGGCATAAAATTCTTTGCAGGGACTTCAGCTGTGCACTTCACATCTTTCTAGTAAATAATTGAGGTATGAAGGCTGTATAGTCCCTGCCATGGCTATTTATCTCTGCCCTTGTGGTGTGAAAGAACCCACAGCCAAAATGTAATGGAGTGAGCCTGCGGCCATCTCAATACAACTTTATTTACAAGGACAGGTAGTGAGTTGAATTTGGTGGGTAGACTATGGTTTGCCTATTTTTGGGTTAAAGATTATAATTTTTTTAGGACATGGTCTGCAGCCACGGAACATCTGAAGTGCTCACCTTTTGCTCCAAATGGTAGCACCATGATTGGATGATCAGAAATGACAAAAGCCCTGCCATGAGAATAAGAATCTACTTATCTAGTGACAGCCTATGCTGTCTGCCTATGGTTACCCTACAGATTCCTCCTTGTGAGAGGATCTTTATAGCATTAAATCTGCAAAGCACACATGGCTAGTGAAAAGGGGATTGATGGTGTGGACAAGGGCAGGGCAGGCTGCTTTGCTTGCCCCACACTGGCCAGGAGCATTCCCTTATGTGTCATAACCCCTTGGGTTACCTCTTTACAGACCTTACCATACCTCCTTGGGATTCTCCACTTTTCTGTCTATCTTCACTGCTAGGCCAGGAACCCTTTGAAGGGAGAGTCCATGTGCTCAGTGCTCTGGGCACGGAGCCCCACATGGGTCTATATTGCCCAGTACATGCTCAATGAAGGTTGTTGAATGCATGAATGAGTGAGTGATTAAGTGAGTGAGTGAATTCTGGGATAATGAGGAACCTAGAGGAGCTAGAGTTCAATCTTTTGGTTGGTGGTAAGAACTGTTGCAGAGATGACACTTGGGGTGGAGAATCAGCAGGTCTTTTGACTGAAAGCTCCTTCATCTAAAGCACCTTGTTCCTAAGTTGTCTGCAGGGAACTGAGGCTTTAGTGCTGTTTTGATGCATTATGACCAGGACAAGGGGGCTTGATCCTACCTGGACATTCAGCCCTTCTACTGAGATGCTTCTAGAAGGAGCTATATGGACAAGGAACACAGTCAGAATGGGAATTGAAGCCCATTATGTATAACTGAATTTTCTCATCTTTCCCCCAATATATATATGTTGGAATGCTAACATTCCTCAATCTTTGACCTTATTGGAGACAGGGTCTTTTAGATGTAATAATGTTAAATTGAGATCACTAAGCTAGGCTTTAGTCCAATATGACTGATGTCATATAAATCAGAGAAATTTGGACACAGAGACATGCATATAGTAGGAAGGTATGAAAACATCTGCAAGCCAAAGAGAACAGCTTGAAGCAGATTCTTCCCTCACAGCCATTGGAAGGAACGAATTGGCTGA